CTCCAGGGGAGTGGAGGTACGCCAGTGTTGGGGCTTCCTTCTGCAGTGGTGTCGCGGCTGAAGTATTTTGACGTGGTTCTGATTTGGCAGCAGTTCAAGATTTGTTAATGGTATGAAGTGGACCAAAAGGTTGAATTTTAGCAGCACTTGTTCATTAACCGATTTAAAGATTAACAAGGTGATTCAGTAGAATATGTTGTCATTAAAACAGCTTCTTAATTACAGATTTGAGAATGACAAGATTACCACTGACTTACTACAAGGTAACCTAAATCAAAGTCTATATATATATATATATATATGTATATATATATATATGTGTGTGTGTGTGTGTATAAATACAAACACACAGATAAATACTTGGATCCAGTGAAATATATAGACACCCAGACCCATGAAGGCAAATGCATGTACTCAAACACATTGGTAGGTAGAGAGGTGGGTGTAAGATACTAGCCTATAGTGAGAACTTCCCTCTTGACTCAAGTTTGGAGTAAATACTCACAATGCATCAGCGTTTCTCAATAGGTGTCACTTGAGTCTCGAGAAGGGTGATGTCATCCCCTGGCCAGTCATCAGCTTTGTCGGCAGACGGTCTTTGAACTTCAGGGAAGTCTGTGCCTGAGAGGCGTCCCACCTCAGGGGAGGTGCTGGTCACAGCCTGCTTCAATCCAGGAGAGCTCAAAGGCTCTCGCTTAGGGTCGCTGTTTATAGGGTCTGAGATAACTGACTTTCCTCAGGTACGTCTCTATTTTGGCCCAGCTTGGATGGTGAAATATTCTGGTACTTTCTGCCAGTTGTGCAGGGCCAGAACTTGCCAAATTTTGGAGTTCTGGTCTCACCCCCTTTGGGCCACAGCGCACGTACAGATGTGCTAGGCAGTCAGGAGGTGACTGATTGTCGTTACTATTCCCAAATGACAGAGGAAGCAGAAGCCAGGTTTGAAAAGGGGGAGTGTTAAAGCTCTGGTCCGCTGCCTTTCGCAACCCGTGACTTACCCTAGGCTGGTGTGTGGCCCAGGGAGGGGGGAATCACACTGAGTACCGAGCAGCCCAGGAAGGGAGTGGAATTGTACCCCACAAGTGGTAGATCTGCCTTGTAACACAGACTGAGGTTTTGTTTTTTTTTCTTTCTGTGGTCCTCCCCCCGACTACCCTGAAGGTAGGCCAAGAATCAGAAGCTTCATTCTTGATCCAGTCTCCCTCCAAACCAGCTGTTGTAGGGCCTGGAGTCTGTATGGAGATTTCTCAGGACAGGTTGGCATCCTTTGAGGTTGTTAGGAAGGGTGCAAGGAGTAGAAGGGAGGCAGGAAAGAGAGTTGTAATGGGATTAATTTTTGCATCATCCTAGCCTGTGTGGTGGAGATGAAGGCTGAAAGGCCTGTGGGCAAATTAGTTACCCAGAGAGAGGATTTTGTTGGAACTGAGACAAGCTGTTTTCTGCCAATTTTCTGTCCGTGCTTCTGTTGCATTGCCAGTGCATCGTGGATATATCTGAATCAGAGGAACAATACATGTCTCAAAGTGAAAAAATAATAATGCTATATTGAGTTCTAGTACCTTGTACCGTGGCTGATACCTCATACTTTGGTTGATACTTTGGTTGTTATTTTAGAAAGCTACTCAGTTCATGGTGACCTGATATGTCATCTGAAGGTAACTATAAACTGTGTTGAAAATAGATTGTCCCGTTGTCTGCCTGAGGAGATGCTAGCCAAAGAGACAAATTATCCATGTTTAAAATCATGTCTGCAGTCTCATTCATTGCATTAAAACTCAGTGTGTGTATAATCATTGCAGCATCAGGCAGAACAGCTGTCATCTTGGGGTCTCCATCAACATTCATGTAATCATCCTGTTTGACAGGGGGTTTGCTGGACTGTGGTGACACATTCAGGGTCAATGTGGGATGCCAACAATACTGACTGGCTAACCTATCAGTCTCTGACTGTTTGCTTCACAAATCTCACAAAACTGTGAACCATTTTGCTGAATATAATTGCCAGCTGCTTTCTTAACTACCTTTTCTGTGAGGTAGATTCGAAAAAAGAGCAACATTTAAAGTACAGTAAGATCTCCTGCTGTGCCTCCTCCCTGGCGGTGGAAATGTCTGAACTACCATGATACTAAGCAGAAGACAACTCAGTGGTAGCTGTTTTACCATGAAAGGACGAGTTTTGCCTGAAGAATAATCATGACCAAAAACTTATTGCCAGAGGGGGAAAAAGATGATAAACAGCAGTTTAATCCTCTTGTTTGGAATGTTGGCCACTTGTAGCCTACCACAGCCCATCTTACAGGATGTAAATAACCCTGTTGACTGCCCATTGAGTGTCCTGCAGGAGGTTCATCAGGTGCCTTTGTGGAGCTGAGTGTGACCTCATGTGTTCCATAGAACAGTGTGTGGGCTTTGCCTGTGATCCTCTGTTCACCCTTTGTCCACCGTGTATGTATGTAGTTGAAGCATGTGGCCGAGCAAGCTTTGTTTGGTTTGTTTCCATGTAAACCAGGCAAATTACAACAGGGATTCGTCAACTGAATCACAAGAGCTCGTCTCGTCATGCGCTTGTGAGGACCACTGCATGTAAGGCTCTGTTAAGTTTTCTTTTTAAACTCAGTAATGCAGAGATGATGGTTTTGTCATCATTCTTCACCAGAATGAAGTAAATGCTTAGGATGACTTCTTGCTTTCAGTGTATCTCATTTCTTTTTAGATACCACGTGAGTCTGTTTATGCTCATGAGTTTATGTTTAGGAAAGATGTTGAGGTCCTGGAGCGGGACCAGAGAAGGATAACGAAGCTGGTGGGCGTTCTGGAAAACACGTCTTATGAGGAGCGGCTGAGGGAGCTGGGGCTGTTTAGCCTGGAGAAGAGGAGGCTGAGGGGAGACCTTATCACTCTCTACAGCTACCTGAAAGGAAGTTGTAGTGAGGCTGGTGTTGGTCTCAATGACAGGACAAGAGGTAGTGGCCTCAAGCTGCACCAGTGGAGATTTAGATTGGATATTAGGAAAAATTTCTTTACTGAAAGAGTGGTTAGGCATTGGAACAGGCTGCCCAGGGAGGTGGTGGAGTCACCATCCCGGGAGGTGTTCAAAAGATGTATAGATGTGGTGTTTAGTGCCATGGTTTAGTGGTGGGCTTGGCAGTGTTAGGATAATGGTTGGACCTGATGATCTTAAAGGTCTTTTCCAACCAAAATGATTCTATGATTCTATGCTTGAAACTCATAGAAAACCCAGCATTTTTAAGAACTGTATCAAATGTTTGATATTATTGTTGTTGTTACTATTATTAGAAAGTACCAAAAGGTAAGGAAAGCTCTTTGCTTTTATCATTATTTCAGATGATGACTGCTGATTAATGAGTTACTATCGGCACCCATAGCATTAGTGTATAGTGAGGAAGTCAGTGTATTTTCACTGGTTTATATTGGTTTAACCCGTGTTAGCGGTTTGCCATACATGTTTTCTGTGTTGCTGCAAAACCCCCTTTGTTTCTGAGCAAATTGACGTGTACTTTTCTTCTCTGACTCTGTGAAATGGTGGTCTAAGAAGGCAGGTTCCCTCTAGAAACTGATAGCACCATGGAAACACGCAGACTGGAAGTACAATTAAAGACACATTCTGTTGTCGCTACAGAAGGGACTACAGGACATTATCTTGGATTCAGCCTGTACTGACTTTAGCTGTGGCCTGACACTTGTTTATACTACTCTATCTCCCTTTCCCTGCTCTCAAAGGACACATTATTTGTTCATTTGTTCCATACTGGTTTGTATTTCAGCATTTTTATTTCTTAGCTTTTGCTCCCATGCTGATGAAGAACACTTAGAAAACAGCAGCACATGGATGAAATCTCAAGGCACCTTTTTCACCTCGCTTGTTTAGGAGGCTATGGGTTGGAAGCTGACCGTGTCTCTGTACTGGGTTCTGAGTTTAGCATCATACCGTTCTGCTGCTTTGTGGAAAATTTAGTGATTATTTTCAGCTGGGCCTTGTTTATCACTATGCTCCCTTATCTAATTTTTCATGCTGGGATTCTCACATAAGCATCTGGATTCCTCCTTAAATTGGATAGAAACAGTACTACTGAGGACAAGCTGTTGAGAGATTTTTAAGACTAGTGCATACTCTCCATATCACTGAAAAAGAATGAATTAAGATGGCAAGTCCTCTTTAATGGTTATTGTCGGGGTTTAACCTCAGCTGGCTGCTCAGCCTCACACAACTGCTCGCTCGCTCCCCCCCACCGTGGGATGGGGGAGAGAATAGGAAGGGTAAAGTGAGAAAACTCACAGTTTAACAGGTAAAGCAGAAGCTGTGCATGCAAGTGAAGTAAAACAAGGAATTCATTCGTCACTTCCCATCAGCAGGCAGGTGTTCAGCCATCCCCAGGAAAACAGAGCTCCATCACGTGTAACGGTGACTTGGGAAGGCAAGTGCCATTACTCTGAAGGTCCTCCTTTTCCCCCTGCTTCCCCCAGCTTTATAAGCTGAGCATGACATCATATGGTCTGGAATATCCCTTTGGTCAGTTGGGGTCAACTGTCCCAACTGTGTCCCCACCCAGCTCCTTGCCCACCCCCAGCCTGCTCACTGGTGGGGCGGTGTGAGAAGCAGAAGAGGCCTTGCCTCTGTGTGAGCACTGCTCAGCAACAGCAAAAACATCCCTGTGTTACCAGCTCTGTGTTCAGCACAAATGCAAAACATGGCCCCGTGCTAGCTGCTGTGAAGAAGATTAACTCTACCCCAGCCCAGACCAGCACAGTTACGATGGTAAAGCCCCTGTCTTTGTCCTATGTCTGGAATGCAAGAGACAGGAGCTCTTAATCAGTGAAGTATGCTGTGTGATCACATTGGCAGGTAGCTGGTGTTCGCTGCTAAGTGTGAAATCAGTGGGTGTGTGGGGGAGTATGTGTGTACGTGGATAGCTGTCTAGGAGCAGGCTGTGACTATGTCCTGTCTGATGTTTTAGTGGAGAAGGGTGCAGTGTGATTAAATGCCAGCCAAGCGCTGGTGCGAGCTTCCTTTTGAGAGTGAGCTGCCCACGCTGAGGACGGGCACCAGGAACCCATTTGTGCCTGGGCCCCAGGGTTCCTTCCAGGCTGGTCACAGATCCATGGTGGTGTTCATGACGGTGGCCCGGCTGCATGTGAGCACGCTGCAGAGCAGTGTTGTTGCTCGTGGTCTGCCAGTAAGTATCCTGATTTCAGTTTTCCTGGTCCTGTGTAGGCACTTTGAATACAAGCTGCAGGTAGTGAGCAATGTGTGAAGAACGCACGTGGGTCCCAGGATTTGAGGAGTCAGCTCACCTGGCTTGCCCTCTTCTTTGCTGTCACGAGCACGGCTGATGTATGTTTTGAGAAGGCTGATGAGGACAGAGGGTCTGTGGAAGAGGTGCCTGTGATCCATGTGTCTTTTGAGAATGACCTGTCCCAGACCCAACCTGCCGTGTTCACAGTGATGTGGTGCACCTTGGTGTATTGGTCTGACAGTCCGGAACACAGGCACTGCAATTCTGTGGTCTGGCTTAGAGTTACCTTAAGTGTAAAAGCAGTTGAGCCGGAAAGCCAGACACGCATAGACTGAATTAGTGCTAAAGGAAGGAAGCTCCTTCCAAATATTTGACTTCTAAGCTTGCTGTGTCTGCTTTCACATCTGTAAAATGGGGATAATGCTATTAGTCTGAAGTTATTATAAAACTTCAAGATGCATATAATTCTTTCTGTGGTTATCACATGGAAGGAGAAATTTCAGAGCTGTTTGAAAACAGCACCTTCACCTTTTGTTAGGGTTAGGGTTGAGTACAGATAGGAAGTGCTCTTCTGTGTGATTTTAGAGCCTGGAGAGACCATCTGATTTTATTTCTTTTTTTCCTTAGCAAACAGCTCACATCCTGGTACAATTTCCCCAGAACGTGTAATCTTTAATTCACAAGGAAGCCAGAACATGCCAGCAGTAGGTGTCCACTGTCAGAATAAATCTGAGCACATGAAGAATGTCTCCCGTGGGTACCGGTGCAGTGATGGAGCGGCGAATCCCGCCCCAATTGGCTGGACCTGCTGCCCGTCACGCTGCCGGGCAGAGCGCGGGCAGCCGGCTGCCCGCTGGACCAGAGCAGCAGATGTGCTGGGTGTGGAGGGACTGGATCTCTTCTCAATGGAAGGAAACGCTGCCCTTAGCTTCCTACTCCTTCTTTTGTATGTGGGATTCACAGTGTCTGTGGAGCAAATGATTGCGACAGAGGACAGCAGGTCAGTAATTGTGTGTATATCCACCAGTTCTGGTGGAGTTGAGCGCATGTCTTAAATGTTGTAATTTGGTCATTTGTGCTCTGTGGCAGTGGATTCGATCACAGTTTAGAATGTCAGGATGTGGTTTCAATTTTCTTTTCAGGTTTGAAAACACCTGGGGCTAATATAGAAATTAATTATTTTGAAGCATACAGTGCATTAAAAATGCAACTTTAAAACAAATTTAGAAACAGTACTAGAAATGGTTTTCAAATGAGTGTTTTCTGGGCATCTGTCTTACATTTAATTACATTTCAATGACTCTCGCACTGACTTTCCCTGGTCTGTGTAAAACCAGTTATAAATAGAGTGACAGCAAGGGTGTGAAAACTGCTCCAAGAAACATAGGTGCTAAAATATTCTACTTGTGTAGAATGAGTATTTGAAGCATGAATTCAATGTTGCAAAGCAGTATTAAACTTGGAAATTACTAGAGATTTGGATTTATTGTTGTTTATAGTGCTATTTCATTCTCTAATGAAGTATAAATAGGAAGCCCAAATCATAGCAGGGGAAAAAGAGGACTTTCTAGAGCCAAGCATTACAAAAGTGAAACCAGCCTAAACTGTGTTAGTTGAATCATGCCCCAAAGTCACTAATAACAGACAGATCAAATATGCTGATGAAGGTCACAGCTGGCAGTAAAATCTGTGCATTTAAGGCAAGAAAGACATGTGGTGATTTGCTTAAGCTTGTATTAAGAGATCTGGTAGTCAGTTACTGATAAATACTGCAATATGTTTTCATTTAAATAGCTTACTTGCTGTTCTCCTCTGCCAGTTTTCAGATTTGTTAGTGTCTTCTTAGCATAATTGCACTTTTTTGCAATCAGATCAGAATCTGAGAGAGAGCAAGCAGTGGAGCGTTACATGAACTTTATTGCAATAAATATTAAGAAATGGCAGTTGTGATCCTGATGCCAGTGAATTGAATGGGGATTTTGCCTTTGCATTTGGTGGAGGTTTGATTGTGCCTGCACAGCGTTAATCTGCTAGAAGTTCTATGAGCTCGGTTTCTCTTTTTTATATTAAAAATTAAAGCTTGAGTATCTTGTTCTGATCCAGTTCTTACTGGACATCCATTAAAGTGCAGGTCAAACCCTGGTACTCAGTACACTGTAAAATAATTATGTAAATCTATCTCCCTGTGTCAAATCACACATGAGGCTATCAGAATATGACACAGAATACTTAAAATTTAAAAACTCTAAGTCATGGGCTTTGTAGGTATTTCTTAATGATAGAACTTAAATAGATACACTTAAAATTCAATAACATTTTTTGTTAGGATGTTTCTTAGAAGGAGCTAGTTGTTGCCCTGAAACTGGACTTCCAGGCTTATATATTTATAATTTTAATAAATTCATTTAAGTTACTTGTGACCAATGTCCCTGAAACTACAAGCAATTCATTGCTACAGGTGCTCAGCAGGCATTCGTCACCTTTCGTCATAACTTTGTTTTTAGTGTGTTTGAAGGTTCACATGTTATTTTCCAATTAAATGCTACATAAATTAATTGAAACTAGTTCAGCAGCCAGAGAGGTATTCTGCAGCTAGACAATATTAGTATTAGAATGATAATTCTGGAGTTATCAAAATACTGCAGTAGGGTACGTTTTGCTGTCTGGTGTAGTTCACCAGAGCAGCAATATGAAGAGTAAAAGGCGGTGTGAATATGGCTTCCTTTAACCCGATGGCATGAAAACTGTCTGTGGCCTCCACACTCGGTCGCTGTTGAGTGCCAGGCTTATTCACATGTCTTGTTTCAGTGGACGAAAGACTGCTCACCTGAAAGTCTTCAAGTGCTGGAATCTATATGAACTTTTTCAGACAAACAAGCCAGACTTGGTTGTCTTATGCAGATGGATAAAGTCATCTGATAAGAAGGAATTTACACTTCTTTATACTTATAATCTTATTTAATTGGGTTTTACATAGTGATTAGTCATCCCAGTGCTTTGTATTAGGGCTAATCCAATTTCATGTGGGTTCCTGACATACTTGGTCTGGTAAATTCAACATACAACATACATGTCTGGGTGTATCTGGGCTAGTTAATTATGAATTCGTAAGGAAAAATATTAGTCAACAAAACATATCCATGCGTGCAACTGAATTGAAGTTTTAGGATAGAGTGGCTGGAAAAAAAAGATAAATTTAAAAGTCTAGCCTTTAATTCAGTGTGCTAAAAATGATTTGCTGTCACTGTTTGCTGATAGTTTTGCAGGCAGTGGAGAAGATGGCTTTAGTGCTAGCCACTTTCCTGTCTCTTAAAGGTGTAATTAACATTTTTATACACAAACCGGAATACATATTTTTAATGTGTTGTTATTGTTGTGGTTTTTCTTTCAATGTTTTTTATTCAATGAAACATGTGCCAGCTGAGGGCAAGAGGGCTTTGCTGCCAGAGATCGCCTGTGAATTCCCCAGCTTGCCTTTTGTTTGGAAAGGCTGCTGATTTGATAGGAGGATGGCTATTGAAGGCCACCCGTTCCTGTCATGAATCACACACTTCAGTGATACCTCAGGGTTATGAGTGTCAAAGGCAGCTGACAGAGCCAATAACATCAACATCAGCTTGTGCTTGCTCAGAAAGGGAGAGGTGATCCTTGCCTTACACCGCTGATAGACTGTCTGTGCCGTAGCACTCTGGCCATAGTAGGGCAAAGCAAAGACTACAGGCCTTACCATGATGGCTTTCCCTCGCCTTTCTGTAGTGGGGCAGCATGTACTGTGCGGGAGGAAGGGAGGCAGCCAGCATTTGCTAATAAACAGAGTAACGAACAGGAGTACCTAGGTAGGGTTATTTCTCTTGCATGCCTCTGCCTGCCTCCCAAGTGTGCCTGCCATGTGGCTGGTCGTATTTGTCATACTGTGGTACTTAGTGGTGGTTCCTGGGTCACTCTCTCTGCTGCGTTCCTCATCAAAACATAAATATTTCACTAGCTGTGCACATTCATCTATGTTTGAGTATCTTCATGCTGAAAGCAGAAACTTGACATTTCTTCTGGAGCAGCACGGCTGCACATTGCTGGGGTTTTACATGTGGTGTAGAGGAGTTGAACTGCATTGTCATGAGCTCCCAACTTGTGCCCGTGGGCTGCGTGGAGGCCAGCTACAACCGTTCTGCTCACCATGTAACTGCACAGGGCGTTTGCAATGAGTATGCGTCATATATTCATGGTATGCTCTCCTCAAGGCTTGGTGTTGCCTATCAATTAATATTCCTCAAGGTGATTTAATTGGTGTGACCATGGTATTAGCCTTAACCCAGAGGGAAAGCTAAGTAATGATTTCTTTTTTTTAAATTGACAGTCATGAAAACAAAAATAACCTGTCCTCTTCCCAGAACAGCATAAAAACCTTTCAAGTCCGGTGAGGGAATGAAAGGAATTACACAATTTTATGCCAGTCTCCTCTCATCCCAATGTTTTAGTCTGCACACTACAGCAGTGATTTCCAAACTGGAGTAATGAGCTATGAGCTTTTAATTATGTAGGTAGGAAAGAGCTAAAAGTATCACTAAGCATAACTAAATATATATAGATACAACTAAATATAACTAAACTTAGTATAACTAAATAATTTACATCAATTTTCTTGTGATGTATCTCATTTTTGTAGCTATTATCATAAAAAAAATGCCCCAAAATTGCCTTTTCCAGCCTGAAGGCACAATCTGTCATGAAACGACTAGAAAAGAAAAATAAGGCTGCATCAACTCACAAAACCCATGTTCCTAATCGTTAAACAACCTAAGAGAGAGTTTTGCCTGAGCAAGAGAAGAAGGATTTGGTCCATTTTAGCTGTGTCTTTTGTTACCTGTCTGTCAAAATTAGGATTATTTCCACCCATCTCTGAAGGCTGCTTGCTGTTGGCATGAGACCTTCGAGCAGCTTGGAGACCTCAGCCTAGCCTGGCACTCAAAGGGCAGTCGGAGAAAGTGGGATCCACTCTGAAAGTGCACAGCCCCCTTGGAGTCACTGGGATTTAGCACCTACAGCTGAGGAGAGAGTTGGTCTCGCGATATGTGAATAAAACTGACAGATGGATTTTAAACGTTGAGCTTTTTTGAACATAAGATCTTTTTAAGGTTTTTTTCAGCTCAGATCACAGTTGCTGCTGTGGTTCCGCAGAGCCTAGCTCTCTTTTTGTGCTGTGTTACAATTTCTCTGGAAACTGTCTTCTGCTTTATTGCCCTGGTTGCTGAAGGGACTGAGCAGCCTGCCTGATGGTCTGGAGCAAAGCTGCTCGTCAGACCTGGTGTTTGGCAGCAAAGTGACAAGCTGGAATAGAGACTCCACTTCACTTTTGTCTGTTTTGCCTTCTGGGTTTGAGGAGTTTGCAAGGGGACCCGAGAGATCTATTTGTGGCCGCAGAGAGGATGCCTGCAAAAGGACATTCTCGCTGGAGAGACACTGATCAGAAGGAGCCTGCTGCCCTCCCAAACCTCAAGTGTAAATAAGACATTGCATGTGAAATCTGGGCTTTGCTGAAGGTGGTGACATTGCCGTGGGTTTCAGACAAGCCAGGTTCAATGTGAGCAAACTCCCTGACTGCCAGAGGCGCAAGGGCATGGCAGCAAGCAGGGCAGGCTCTAAACTGTCCCACGTTTCTCAGCGTTATGTTGTTCGGACTCATATTTATCTGCCATTAAGGATGCCATGATGGAAATTACGTTGGGATCACTCCTGCAGTACATGCTGGTGGGTAACACAGATCCCCCTTCCCAGGGAGTCCACTGGGGAGTGGGTTCACCCAGCTGTTCATGGGCTTTCCAGTGAGGCCAAGGCTTGACTCTGCAATTCAAATACCTTATGGTACAGTTTATACATAAATATTGAAAACTGCTTTTATTCCTAGTCCTTATGTGCTGGTCTTTGTGTATATCTTTTCAACTGTTTTGCTTTTGTGGTGGGTTGGAAAGGCGGTAAGAAATAAGGCAGGAAAAGAAGATGAAAGAATATTTCCGTGTAGTGGCTGTGAGGCAGGTCTGGCCCCACCATGGCTTACCCCCTGAAAGGCACTGTGTGACAGAAGTAGTGCAGGGTGTAGATTATACTTACACCAGCTGAAGAGTTATACCTAAATTATACCAAAGAAGAAAATCAAAGGCTGAAAATTTAATGAGCCTGGTAGTTGTCACTTGAGATGTGCTTCAATGGGATTTGGGATTGCTTGGAACCATTCAGGAGCTGTCTTTAGATGGCTGTAAATCTGGGCTTAATGCATACTAGTACAGTGTATTTGCTCTATCTTGGAGGAATTCAATGCGTTGCTTCTGATCCTCACTGGGGGCTGAGGGTGGTGTAGCACTGTCCATGTGTTCCCCTGCTTGTGACCTGGAACTGGCTAACCCAAAACTGATGTCCCATGGAAAGGGACAAGAGGAGTAATGAAGTCTTTAGTCAATGATATGGGAAAGCCTGGCAGGCTGATCCACCTGAGGAATCTCTGAAAATTCATTTTTATCCTGAGTACACTGGCTTTGGGATTAATTTGCCCAGTTCCTGTGACATTAACCAGCCAAGGATCTGAGTTACCTTTTGAATGTTTTATTGAATGAAGCAGGAGTGGGAACTCTCCCCAGTAAACTTGCTGCAGACTTTAAATCCAGATGCTGTACAGTAAATATTTTTCTCCTCTCTTCTAGTTCACATGTGTTTTCAGATCAAGATTCTCTGCAAAGAAATGGTAAGGCTCTTCTTTTTCAGTGGGCTGAATGCCTGGATATTGGCTCTGCTAGTGCAGCTGTAAAAGATCTTCATTCCAAGATGTTACTTCTATTGGCATTAGTGGCTCTTCTGTCAAACATTTTGTTAAAGCATATCCCTTTTTAACAAATACTCTTTAAAGGCTTTATCTGGTTAAAATAATCATTCACTGACTGACTCTCAGATAAAATGAGAATGTGGAAGAAAGCATTGACTTTTTTTTTTTTTTTAAACCAAATTAAAAGAGTTGAATGTTTGAAGGATGGAGCTGTGAGAGTGTCCATGAAATGATCTGTCATCTGTGAAACTTCACTGTCCAGGCAAGCAGTTGGGCCATCAGCTTATTTGTCACAGCTTCCCATCTGTGGCCAGTGCAGGGAAAGAAATTCCCACCCGTAGTTAGCATGCTTTTGCCATGCAATTCAACACACACCCTTTGACGACAGAGTTTGCTGTATGAAGAAAGAAGAAGTGTTTGTTAAGTGTGTTTGGGATGAATGAATACATGTATGGGCTGAATCCTGTAATTTTTGGATGCTGGAGTTTTTCCCAGTAAGTGTGGCAAGACGTTCAATGAAAAGAAGAGGAACCTTGTTGTTCAAGTAAGGTAAAGTAAACTAGAAGATGCATGTATTGAAGGCAATATTTGCACTAAGATAAATATTTTCCAAAACAAAATCAGGTATTCTGAAATACAGATTCCATGCAGGGATAATTATTGTTTGCATAAGAACGTGCAAGATTATGCTTTTATAAATGATTGGATTTTTTTTTGTAGGCTAGTAACACACTTTCTTCTGCAGGTCGACATTTTGATGGTGGCGTGAAGCCAAAATTTAATGTAAATCAAGTGGCAATTACACAGGTAATGTTTGAAGGACTGGATCTGTAAAGTTTTTTCATAGCACATTGAGATCTTTTAATTTGCATTATTGAATTAAGTAATACAATTCAACAAAACTGTCTAAATCATTGTGATGTGGTACCAATTCACTAGATAAATTTTGCTTTTCTGCGAAGTGAAGTGAAACTTCTGTTGCCGTTGCTGGTGCTGACTGGCAGTGGGTTTGAGCACAGGGTGTTACTGAAAGAACCAAATCCTATTGTCCATATTCTGTCTGATGCCATTTGATTGCTGTGGCCAGTATTTTGCTTAGATCACTTGGAACTAAAAGAATTGGTGAAGCAAAACTGCAGATTGCTTAAATTTTGTGGGAGTTTTTCCTGAGTCCAGTCAGTAGATCTTGTCAAAAGCAGAGCATAAGAGGCTGCCTTACCAAAATCTTTGCAAGTGGTGCAATCTAATGTAAATAATCTGTTGTTTCAATCTCTCTCATCTTTACTTCTGAGAAGACAGCCTTGTCATTTATACAAGTGACAGTCATAGTCAACATTTTCTTGCTGGCTGTTGCATCATGTTTTCTGACCATGAACTTGCCTTGCTTTCAGCTGGTTGCTGTGAGTACTTACTAATTTTAATCATAAAGCAGTCTTGTGCCATATTTAAGGTCAAGTGTCAAAAGGAGTCTTTCAGGGTCTGAGTTGGGAGACATGATTGGCTAATCTGAACAGCAAATAGACAAACAAAATCTCTCTTTAAGCGAAGACAAAGCTTTGGGGCTTAACTGCGTCCCTTCTGGAGCCTGGTAAGGTGCTGTTATGACTGGGACTCTGAACACCTCTCTAGTTTGTACATGATTTGAACTTGCTTAATCATATGACATGCAAACCAGCCATGCAGATGTTGTATACATTATCATATTCAGATAGGATATATGTGTAGATGGAAAAGAACTGGTGTCTGGAAATTTTATTTTGAAATATGGAAATGACAGTTAAATTTTGAAGTCCTTTCCGAGCCCTAAGTCACTGTCTCAAATTGCATTGCCTGACAGCCAAATTGTCTTCCTTTTGCTATGAAATTTGACTTAGAAGGGGTAACATTTTTCTAATGTCTAGAGATGACATGGAAGATACAGTCCCCAGGTTTTAATCTTGTGAACAACTGATTTTGTAATGGCAGAGATCAATATTTGAGCCATCCTGTTCTGCAGCAGGCATTTTTGCAATTTTAAAGTCATTGGGAGCCAAGCTGTCTGCAGGTAGATGTAGACTCGGACATTTATTTCACCTGGACAGCTGCCTTGTGTGCTTTCAGCGTGGTAGCCTGTGTCCTTGGCCTAAGCTGAGTCCTCTTTAGTATGCTGAAGTAATTCTTACAGCAGGTGTCCTAGAGAGTCTTCTGCTGGGGTAAACACCTTGTGTTTCTAGCTTTCCTTCAACTTTTTATATTGGGCAGCTGTACACTGTGGTGACGTGAGATGTGGTTTGCCCCAGTGATACTACCCTTGTAGAATAAATAAAACTTATATTGGCTCTCTGGCCAGTTGTGCCGGAGATAGAGGTCTGTATGGTGCCATTCCCATGGTGGGAAGGGGTTAGCCAGAGATTTCTCTGCTTCTTCAGTTCATTGTGGCTGCAGCTGAGAACTGGCTCCACAGATGCTCTCCAAGTGCTGGCCTCATTTGTTCTGGTAGGATGGAGAGTAGCTCCATGCGAAATATACATCTTCTGATACTGATCTTTTATGTGGTCAATCAGGTTGTCAGCTACAACTGGAGCAGGAGAGGACAGTGGGAAAAGGCATCCTGGAGGCCGTTCACCCACAGCCACTACAGCCCTCTCAATGTGACAGTTAATGGAATCCCCTGCATTCTCTTCTGGGCCAAAAGGATCATGATTAAGTTTGAAAACCACACACAGCTGGATTTGACAGAGAAAACATTTGGTGTCCATGCAACAGTGGATGTTGGAGATTCAAACTGCAGTGAAGACAACGCAATGTAAGGTGGCATTCTACTCTGCCAATGGAACTAGTACCAGATAACAAGTCTAGTAAATATGTACTGAAGGAAATAGACCTTTATTATGTAGTGTAGGGCCGCAGGGTCAAGCTTCTTCCTATAAAGTCCTGACAGCAGCACGGGTTATATTCCTTCAGACTAGTCTTTCATGAGGCACATAGATGTACATGGCTGTCTTCATCTCTTGCAGTGGTGTAGTCAATCCTTGTAGCCAGCCAATTTTGCTCTTAGTGCCTATGAGGCTGAAGCTGTCGATATCTTTAGTCGCCAACTGTTTTACATAGCTGCTTGCGAGATTGGATAGTGGATCCTACGCTGAATAGGGGGGCTTAGGGGCTCTCTGTGCATAACTACTTACCCCTTTGTAGGAAGTGTGCCAGCAATAATGTAAAGCATTGGTACAAGATGCAGATGTATATTTACATCCCCAAGTGTGCTGGCTGGCTTCATGTCTAATACCAGGTCATCGATTCCACTCTGGTAGGCAAGAGTCTAAAAATTAGGAGGTGAATACCTGACTGGGCATGTGCAGAACATGATCACTGAGTCTACCCCATAAATGGTGTTTAAATCTGTAATGACACACAACGATAAAAGTAACATGACTAAAGCCAGCAGTTTCATTTAACTCCTAATACAACTGTACATCTACAGATGTTTCCACAGAAAGCAGGTGTTACCTCTTTGTGATTGTACATCTGTGAAGGATAACCCAAGGTGCACAGAAATTTTGGTGAGGTTACAAGAAAACTAAAAGTACAATTGAAAAAGAAGCCAGGTTTTTTGCCTGTAGTATCATAGTATTCAACAAGGCAACCTGAATTTTACTTCATCAGCTTGTGAACTAATGCAGCACTATGTTTTGACAGGCAGAGGTAGAGAATGGAATAATATTATTTTAAAAATAAAAAGTAATAACTTATAAACACTTCTTTTCTGGTCTGCAATTCAGAAATAATCTCAAGTCTTACTAATAGCAATTGTAACCTACATAGAAAATATGCTCATGCAAAAGTAAGGAAATTTCAAATCATGAAGTATAGTTTTATAGTTGTTCAAAAGGCTTGAAAAATAAGACAGTGTAGTGGTGGACAGCAGACTCCTACTGGACTTGCTGCTTGAAGACTGTTAGATTTGAGCAGGCTATTCTGCCTACCTGTCTGTCACAGGTACCTCTCTAGTCTGGTTACAGTAGTGGATGCCTCATTCTGTAAATACAGCGTTATAAGAAATTAGGACTTGTCCTGGCTCTGGCTGGGAGGGCCACAATTCTCTTGTGTTTTGTGTTTGTGGCTAAAACAGTGTTGATAACACCCTAGTGTTTTGACTCTTGCTGAGCAGTGATTGCACAGCATCCAGGCTTTCTCTGTCACTCTCCCCTCACAGTGAGTAGGCTGAGATTGGCAAGAGGCTGGAAGGGGACGATGCCTCAACAGCTGACCCAAGTTGTCCAGTGCTGTATTCCCTGTCATACAACATCATGCTCAGCAGTAAAAACTGGGGTAGAGGATGAAGAAGTGGGTAGGGGCTCTGTCTTCCAGGGTGGCCGTTGCTCAGAGATTTGCTGGGCATCAGTCTGCTTGTGGGAGAGGGTCAGTGTTTGCCCTTGCAAAACTTTGTGGGGTTTTTTTTTTATTCCCTCTTTCCTTCACTTATCAAACTCTTATCTTGACCTAATGAATTCTCTGTCTTTTCCTATTCTCTCCCCTGTCCTGCTGCGGGGTGGAGGGGGAAGAGTGACTGAGTGGCTGCATGGGTCTTAGCTGCTGGCTGGGGTCAACCCGCCACAGGGATGTATATTCTGCTTGATGCATTATGTTGGAAGGTATTTTGGAATTTATAAACCACATTATTCATTAAAAAGCTGCGAGAAAAGTCAGGAAGCAGAACTACTCTACAGCATACCCTTGACATGCCTTTTTATCAGTGTTTCATCATATTTGAGGTTTGATCTCAAAATCTGTGGGTCCACAGCCATCTTATCTGCCATGCCTTCTGATCTTTCTCTATGTTTTTCCCATAGTTTTCTGAGTAGCCTTGAACTAGGGACAGAGCTGCTAAAGGCAGGCAGGACCCTGATGCTTAGTTTGAAGCTTCGGCTGGCATTTTTTTGCTGGGGTCAAGAGATATACTGTTGCTACTGAGCCTTTTCTCCTCTGTTCTGTGGAGAGAGAGGGGAAATGCTGCCCATTCCCAACAGTTATGCTTTCTTGCATGTTCTATACTTTGCTTATTTAGGATACACTGAGAAATACTAGTCCCACTGACTCCTGCCCTTTGAGTGTGCTCTATTATCCTAACCAGGAAAGGCCTGGCTTATTCTGAGCTTTTGCTAGGAGGCATTTGTCAGATCATGTTACAGATTGCATGAACAGACCTGTGGCATCTCTGCTAGATTACAAGTATCAAGGCATTAGAAACTGTATGTTTCAAGTATCCATTCATTCATTGCCACTGACAGCATCTAAGTACTGACCGAGGTCCCTGTGTCTAGAAATCATGCTCTGTGGGTAGGAAAATGGATAATCTGGGCTCATCAATCAGGATTAGACTCAGCGTAATTGCCAAATACATGTCTCGTGTTAGATTTTCAGTCAGCTTGCATTTGACTGTAGCAGAGAAGAAAGGGAAAAACTGGCTTGAATGTTGCTCTGTAGTCTCAAGTTTAAGGATTGACCTAAATTATGCCAGTGGATGGCTGAGTGCTCACATGATGCATTGCCCAGTTTTTCTCACCCTAGAAAAGTCCCTTAAACTGCTCCCTTCTTCAGCCTTCTTTGTTCAGACAGTACTCTGTTGTGGCTTTAGGCCAGCATTAAAGCTGGTTTTTACTGTCTAATCAATGCAAAGTAGCTGGAGCCAGGAAAAAATGTTTGACACTGAACACACATGCATTTGCTAGATGAATATAATAATCCAACCTGTGGGATTTTTTTTTTATGCACCGAATTCTGGATTATGCCGCTGAATTGAATGCCGTATTTGCCTTTGTCTAATCCTCAACCATCTATGATTTCCCGTTGTATTAAAGCAAGGGATAGCATCATGGCTTGTTGGACCGGTGTTAGTCAAGGTACAAGAAAAAGTCTAGATTTTGTATGATATCATAGGGCTAGCTGGTATTTGTTGTTTGTTTGTTTGTTTTCTTTCAACTTTAGGTTTGTCAGTCTTTCAGATACTGCGTGGTTTCACTATATTTTGTCTCTAGCTTAGTCTGAAAACGTTACGTCGGCACTCAGAATCTATTGTGCATATTTTAAGAGGCAAAATATTATTGTTAAGCTAAAAAACGGTATGCCACTCAATCATGCAGTGCTACAATGCATTAATTCCAGAAATAGTAGAAGGCCAGCAGAGTAGGCAGTAGTGTACAGCTAACCTGCCAGGCTACCTCACAGTCAGTGTGTTTATATTGCTCTAGTGATGCACATGTGTGAAATTTGAACGTAAATGTCATCTGCATTTGTTAGCTCTAGTATCTAAAAATATGAGAATAAGGTGGCTGTTTACACTTTCTAATGACAAACAGAAGTGATTCATGACTAAGATACCATGGCTTGCGAAGGAGAAGACAGATCGAGTTAACCTAATTGTCAACTGATGTTGGAAGCAGTGGGATTGAAATGTGTTGAAAGTTGAGCATGCAGTTCTGTTCTTTCCAGCCTCGCTCAAATTGATGCTGAACTACGGGATTTTGCTTGAGGAAGATATAGTCCTTTCAGTTCTTCAAAGGTGTGCTGAGCAAAAGGCTCCATGTATAACTGTGCTTAATCTTTTGTGCTGCTCTTTTCTCTTAAGATTTCTGAAGTTTTTATGTAGCCTAATGTTACTTGCTTTTTGACCTAGGCTTTCTCTGAAGTTTGGTGACATTGGCAATCTAAAGGGACTTGTTATTAGGTAAGTTTATATGATAAAGAAAATATTAGATATTTAAAGAAAAGATAAAGATGATAAAGAAAATATTGCATGTTAATCTCCATTGTTATGCAGTTGCTTGTGCAATTTGTTTTGGGAGAGTTTATGTAAGCAAAAATAAGGTGGTAGAACTGTTGATTGTTTAATCATCTGCTTTTAATAGGTCTGTCATTTTACAAACAAGGTCTGCTATATTTTATTAAGGCATTTCTTCTTCGATGTTGACTTTTTTATTCACGAGAAAGGTTCGGTTCGTCTCTTTTGAACAGAATCTTCCCATGTCTAAGATTTTTGTTAAACCTTGCTAATTAGCCACAATTTTGTCTTGGAATTTTGCCGCAAGAACTGATAGTGTGGGCTATTCAAGCATCAGACTATGACCTACTTTATGTTCACTTCTTGGCAATTGAAGGAGAAAACATTTCTTGATAAATAGTTTTCTGTATCTTGAATGGATGTACAATGTTGCATAGGGATTTTTCTCAGTCATTTAGGAAGAATCCCTTGCATTTCCTCTCACTGTTTGGAGGAGAAGCTCCATTTCCTGTCACTGTGTGGAAGCTGCAGCAATGAAGAAGCTCAAATCACTTTCTAGACTCAGTAGAAGGAACTAGAACTCACACTGATATAAGTGGGTGAAACTCTGGTGATACTAGTGTGTCTTCTAAGGCTGTTCAACGTGTGAATTTAATAGTTACAACTCTTAGACTTGTTTTCTTACTCATCTTTCTTCCCATACAACATTTTCAGATTCTTATTAACAACGAGCTATTACCAGCTGTCTGTTCAGAACTGGTTCCGTTTACACAGACTGCAGCTTCTTTACAACCACTCCATACAAGCGACGTTTAATGCAACCAGAATATACGCACCCTCAAGTTACTCCTACCACTGTGAACATGTGAGCAGTTTGCAGAGATATGATGCACTCCTCATACCCAGCTCTGCAAATGATCTTTCAAAGCTTTGGGAAGTCACTTTTACTGATTTCCAGGTAATGTCATGGAATTAAGCCGAATGGATCCCATAGGTAGACTGATGGGGAATTTTGCACTTCACTGCCAAGAAAGTGTAATGACCTTCCATGTACAGTTTGCAGGATCTCCATGGAACTTGAAATAGAAATTGAATAGAAATGAAGACTTAAATTATTATACTTATCTTCCTGTCAAGGGAAATGAAGGGCTATATAGATTTACTGTAGTCTCTTGCCTGGGTTTGCATTTAGCATGGGGACTGAATTTAACTTTCAGTGTTACATCTCTCTGAGCTGGGCTCTCAAACCCAGCATCAATAGCACCATCAGTCACCAAGTATGGGATTCATTTCCCTTAACTTTTGATGCCTGGTAATTTTAACCTTGTGCCCTGATTATGGTCACCCCAGTCTGCCTCTAAAGCCGGTGGATAATTCCTCTGACTCATCTTAAGTCCTTATTTTAAGATGAGATTAATCATCTTCTGAAAGGGCCTATTTTTCTGCATTTGACAGTAAGGAAGCTTAAGATGACTGGACTAGGTATGTCTTGCTTTTGAATACCTAAGTCATACGGGATGAAGAGCTGAAAAAGGGGATTGGGGGAAGTTGATCCCCCTTTTCTCACCATGTGATAAATGCCCAAGGACTGATCTAGTGAAGCAAACAAGTCAACTCCCTGAATGTCAATGTGGTAAACTTCATGTTAGATCTGAAGCCACAACTAAAACTTACTGGTGTTTGCCATAGTTAAATGCAACTTCCTGCAGTTTAGCTGGTTTGCTGCCATATACTGCATGCTTAGATCTGGTGAAAAAAATCTAATATTAGGATAGGCAATTGAGAATATTTCCTTGTTTGTCATGTTGAAGTTTATGCAGTTTGAAACAGAGACTCTGGATATTTTCAACAAATGATACTGGAAATGCACTGTTAACTTGAAAGGTATCATGCTTGCAATTAAATATGACTGGGCTATCAAGAGTGATCGTAGAAGACTTTGTTTAAAACACAACTGCAAATCCTTTGGGCAGCAGAGTGAAGGGGATTAGAATAACTGGCAGTTTCTAGAAGACTGACCTGGATAAACTCTGATCGTTAACTCCAGCTAGTACTGACACATACAACTTAGCAATAAGCAGGTATTAAATTAAAAATTCTTACTGGCATCAGGAGCAAATTCATGAAGTTGTTTGTAACCAAGACAGCAAATTAATATGAGCCCTTTTATTTTCTTTATAGATTCAAGGTTTTAACATTCAAGAAGGACACTTTGCCGATGCAAAAGACTGTGCATCCTTTTTCTCTCCAGCAATACTTATGGGATTGGTTATGTCGCTGATTCTGCTTCTGGTTCTTGCCTATGCTCTTCATATGTTAATCCACCTGAAATCTCTTGACAGGCACTATGAATGCAAAGCTTCTCCTGCCTATTTTGCACAAATGAAAGACAATGACATGGGGGATGAGAAGGAGCCACTGAGAAGCGGTGGAAATGAGTCCTATGAACTTAGAAACCAACAGTTCTGTAAAATCTATATTTAGCAGTATGCATCTGTCTCAGTGAAACAAGTGGTATTGTCTTTTGCTGGCACTGTCGTATGTAGTTTATGCAGATTTTTCAGCAACTGATGAAAGGAAAAGTAGGTGACAGACTGTTTAGTGAGTTATTGCCTGTTATTTATTGATAACCATCTCAAAGATGCCTTGGGAAACAAGATGAGAGAGAAAAAATTCCCTTGTGAGTAAGAGATTTTGTGTGATGGGAGTCTATTCCTGTAGTACAAAACCAAAATGCATATCCTTTCAGCCATCTTACCAAGCCCTGAAGAAAGAATCAATAATGGAGCCTTTGAAATTAAATAAAAATACAAAAAATTTTAAAAAAATTGCTCTTTGCTTATTCTTTCAGAAGGCAAGATTTTTCCTGGTTTTGTATTTGCTTCATCCACCCTGCTCTGTGTTGTGACAAAATAGCATCTGTTCCTTTCTCAGTATATGTTTTATTTTATTTTCCAAATTACGTCCTCTGCTGTTTGTCCTCATAAATTCCTTTTTTTCCTTTGGAGTCTTCAGAGCCATATAAGCTGTGTGTAATGGACTACACTGATGAAATAGCGATGGCTCCAGTACAGCAGCGTTTTGATACTTTTCTCTGTCTAAACTGGAGGCTTACTGTAAGGATCTAGGGGGAGAACAGTAGACATCTGGTCAAAGGCTTACCCTTAACTTCCCTGCTCAACTCCACGCCAAAAGACGGATTATGAGCATTATACCCTGTAATTCTAGGTTAATTTCTTTTCTATCAAATCCCATCAGTCTCCCTCGGGCATTTTACCTGAACGGAGATAGCCAGTGCTATAGTTGAAAAAAAAAAAAATATACGAAGTGGTGGAAGCTCCTCAGCAGTGAAAACAATACTGGATACTGTGATATAATTTTCGCTTCTCGTTCTGAGTGTTTACGATACTGTCTTCCCACTCATCCTTTCTTCTGTTAGAGTCAAAGTTTGGGAAATCCAAATTAGCCTGTAATTTGACCCTGATTTCTAGCAAGGAAGGATGCAATAATGTACTAACTGTAGTGCTTTAAGGTCACAAGTAATACAAAGCTCAGCATGTCAGAAAACCTTCTGCAAAACCAGTTTCAGTAAACAAATGCCTTTTTATTTTAGATATTAGATCTAATTAGTTGTTTGTGGTCTTTGTAAACTATTCTGCAGTGCTCTTTAAACACCTTGAGAGATGTCTGAAGCTCTCCTGTTCATTAGCACAGATGACACACAGACTAGATGTGGAGTCCAAAGTAGTTAGTTGATTTAGGAAGGCACTTCAGAGGGAAAAAAAAAAGCCATCTTTGAACTGTAACCAGACATAAGAGAGAAGCTTCTGGGGACTTGGCAAGGCTGCCTGTGGCCAGTGACTGCTGAGCTTTATCTGTTTCGTAAAGGAAGAAAGGAAAACCAAGAATGCTTGGGAACTTGGTAAAATGAGGTAAATGATGGTAAAAGGAGAAGGTGCAAATAAAAAATATAGTATTCTATATGGAATGGCAAAACAGTCACGGACTTGGTCCCCTCTGCTTACAGGCAGTGATGACAGATGTAGGCTGATGATAACACTAGAAGGAGTTCAGGATGCCAGTGCTAAATAAGTGGTGTTCCTCAGAGCAGAGCAGTGCTGTTGTGCCTGGGGCTTGCTTGCCTGTCAGGCAGTAAAAACCTGACACTATAATCACTGGTAGCCTGACCGTCAAAATTACGGTCATTCACTGATGTAAAATACCCACTCTGCAGAGGAGTGCATGGTGGCTTTGGTCATGGCAGAGCTCTCTAAACCTCGTGTTCTCTGAGGCACAAGTGCGCTGGTTCCTCCCACAGAGCTCATTTAACCTTCTGGTTAGCATCTGCTGATGATGTCGGTATAACTCTTACCTATAATTTTCTTGCACGTTTTAAACAGGCAATATTAGCACTGTTGCTGTAAGAGGTACTTGTGAGACTGATAAAGCAAGAGTAAGGGAGCTTCCTTCTAATCTTGTCCCTCATGTCCTTCTAAACCTCTTTC